CAAATACGGCGTTCCTCAGAGCCACGGGTTTTGTTTCATTAGCCCTTGTCTTTGGTTAGTTTGTTTGGTGATACTCAGGTTCCTTTCATATTGGGTCATATTTTTCTCTACACAGCCTATACAGCATGAGCCAAGGAGAATCAAGCGAAAGATTGGGAATGTACCATTGCCGAGCAGATGGAATCAACTTCCAATCTGCCTGCATTGGAAGGGCACAGGGATTTGGTTGATCAAAGATGGCAATTGGTGAGTGCGTTTTCCAACGGAAGTCAGAGTGATTCAGTTCTTTCACCAGAATCACAAAAATTGAGGAAAGAACTTTTTCGAAAGGAAGGGCCATTGAACGAACTATCACTCAAATCCTACAAGAAGAGGTTCACAGCATACATGCAAAGGCTGAGCAACGCGAGTGAGCGGCTGAATGCTGTTCAGAAAGAAGAAGTAGAGGAAGGGGATGTTGGTGACTTTAACGCAACAACGACAATAGTATGTATGCATTCATTACATATGTCTATTATACTTATACTATTATCTATACATATACACATGTAAAACAACCTATAGCTAAAATATGCTCAAATCTAGTATTTAGTATTTGGAAGCATAATGTGTATTTTCTGTTCTGCATGTGTTTTGAGGTGAAGATGAAGAAGTCGATGTCCCAGCTCTTGGTGACAAAGCGGAGTCAGCGTCTGTGAACCCCCCCGAGTCCATGGTACACCTTGACCTTGAGAAGTACTCACTCCTGAAGGATATGATTCGTCTTACCACTACTTCCAAGAAACTTGTGTTCGGCGCAGTTTGCAAGGGAGAGCCAGTCAGCCCACATCGGCCATGCAGCTGTTCCTACCTTTTGGAGAACCTCAAGACCCCAGAGCTAGGTGGAATTCCTAGGGATGATATTTACACAGAGTTGAAGAATGACATCACGAAAGAAGCTAAACAAAGACGGGACTATGGTTTTCCAGATGGAGAAACAGCAGCCTTGTCCAAACACATGGATTATTCGAACTCAAATTTACACACTTGTCTTGTCTTCCTTTTCTTCTTTCATTGATTTAATTGATCTCCCGATTCCTCAAGATCCTTCCCGTCTCTAAGTTCAAGCCTACTTGTCCCTTCCCGTTCCAAGGTATTCAAAGATCTTCCTTGCTTGAAGTTCACACTGGCTGGGGCCGACATGTTCAAACATCACCTGAAGAACTTTGAGCTTCAGGAAGACATACAAAAGAGACATGTCGCAAAATAATTTTGATACATTTTCATCTATGTGTTTCACTTTGTGAATCAACATACAAAAGACATTTGTCGCAAAAGGGTTTTGATATAGTTTCGTCTATGTGTTTCAATTTGTGAACCAACACCAGCAAAGAATTTGCAGTATTTATTTCTCAACTCACATAATCAAAAAAACACTTACAGTAATTAAGCAACGCTTTGAATTGCGCTAAGGATGTTTGCGATGAAGATGCTTTACAGCAAGCCGAGTTGGAGCACGCAAGCACTGACAGACATGCTGGCACCGGTCGCAAAGTTTCAAATCCGTGGGGAGAAATTGATTCTTGCGTGCCCATTCGCATGTTTGGCAGCAAACATTCGGTCAAAAGCCAGGGGTGTTCCTCCTTCAGTGGTCAACATGTGTGAGGAGATGTTAGCCATGGATGTCAAAGCTTTTGAAGAAGCTGGTGGTGCGTGCGTGCATATGCATGCAGGGGATTGTTTGTGGGTTCCTGACTGCCATTTGGTATGCGAGTTCAACATGGAAAAGCATGAAATTTCTACTTCGCTCAGTTGGATTGCCATGACCAAGTTCCATTGCAGCGAAGAATGTGTCAAGTTTGTGTGCAGCAGCGTCAAGTCAATCTTACAAAATACATGCCAGCCATCTCAGAAAAGCATGGAGACTCATTTCCAGGTGTGGGGTTGTTTCGAAAAAAAATGTTTCAGGGGTCGGTAGTACGTAGGGGATGTAATGGGTGGTTGTGGTAATGGGTAATGGTAGTGTGAGTGGAGAGAGAGAGAGATATATATATATATAAACGTATGGCAAATTCATCAAAATTCCCCGTGTGTATCTAGGTTCTTATCATGTGGATATTTTTTGCCCATCAACCAGCTGTCACATCCCCTGTAGATGGCAGAAAAGACATTGACAAAGCTATTGGAAGTGATAAGGAGCGAGGAAGTAAAGAAGGACATTCAGGGCGGCCAGATTGGATTGGGAGCATTGGTGTCATATCATTATCACGATATATATCTATAAATATATTATTATATATAAATTATATTTGTATTTTAGTTCAAGCATTATCAATGATCATACCAAAAGGGATTCACAATTCAATGGTGGCCAACACACCAACATCATGTTACTATGCAGGAACCGAATGACGTGAAGACAGAGGAGACTGAGGAGACAGTGGAGATTGCACAGGCACCCGCAGCCACAGCACCAGCCAATCCGCCAGCCCCTGCCGCAGCTGAGGCAAATGCAGGAGAAGCAAGCATAGCACCAGCAGATGAACCAGAGGAGTTTGGAGCAGCAACATCACCGGAAGATGGCCAACAAAAGATTTCAGCACCAGCAGCACCAGCCAATCCGCCAGCCCCTGCCGCAGCTGAGGCAAATGCAGGAGAAGCAAGCATAGCACCAGCAGATGAACCAGAGGAGTTTGGAGCAGCAACATCACCGGAAGATGGCCAACAAAAGATTTCAGCACCAGCAGCACCAGCCAATCCGCCAGCCCCTGCCGCCGCAGCTGAGGCAAATGCAGGAGAAGCAAGCATAGCACCAGCAGATGAACCAGAGGAGTTTGGAGCAGCAACATCACCGGAAGATGGCCAACAAAAGATTTCAGCACCAGCAGCACCAGCCAATCCGCCAGCCCCCATAGCACCAGCAACATCAACATCACCGCAAGATGGCCAACAACAGGTTTCAGCACCGGCATCACCAGCCAATCCGCCAGCCCCTGCCGCAGCTGAGTCACATGCAGAAGATGCAAACACAGCACCAGCAACATCACCGGAAGATCGACAACAGAAGATTTCAGCACCGGCAGCACCAGCCAATCCGCCAGCCCCTGCCACAGCTGAGTCAAATGCAGAAGATGCAAACACGGCACCAGCAACATCACTGGAAGATGGCCAGCAAAAGATTTCAGCACCCGCAGCACCAGCCAATCCGCCAGCCCCTGCCGCAGCTGAGGCAAATGCAGGAGGTACGACACAGACACTTGCAGTTGAACAGCCTCCAACACAGAATCGCAATGACACAAAAGTTACATTGCCAAGGATTGACACTGTGAAACAAGAAGCAGAGAATACCGCAGCACCAGTTCAAACTGTGGCATTGAGCGGTCCAATCGACATTGAATCTAGCGAGGATGAGAAGATTGAGGAGGCTAGCACACTCGTGGCGAATGCACAGCCAACCACAGAGCCACAGGATGTGTCTAGTTGTGAGGAAAATCTTCCCCTTGCTACTTTGAAGGTTGCAACACGCACTCAGACTGCGAAGCATGCTGAGCCTGACGCTAGCACCAACGTTGCTACAGCTGCAGCTTCCACTCTTGCTGAGGGTGAGTCAAGATTGGAGACAAACAGTGACGACAAGCAACAGCCAGATGTCAGCAGCAGCAGCAGTGACCAGAGCAGCAACACGGCAGAGGAAGACGAAGACGATGCTTTGACACCCCCCAGGGCAAAGGCCAAAGGAAAAGCGAAGGCAAAGGCAAAGGCCAAGAGCAAAGCAGCTAAGGCAAGTCCGAAGCCGAAAGGGAAGCCCACAGCCAGCAAAGCCAAAGTGGCACCCAAAAAAATCAATGAGAAAGCTCCAGAGCCAGCCAGTGGTCGAGGAGGAGGCCGCGGACGTGGGCGTGGTCGGAAAAGAAAAGCTGATGCAGATTCGGCCGAGGACTAGAGGACGGTGTGTCAGGGCGGGGGTTCTGAACAGAATAGGACACTTGACTAATTATATTCAACATAGGACAACAACTGTCACTAACGACAGATTGACATATATAATTATCTATTATATATATATATTATGAAATTATATTATATATATATATTTGTTTTTGACATCTGAAATTATTCTTTCAATACTTACTCCGTTAACCTGTTAGCTTTTAGTTTCAATATCGTTTCACGTTTTTGATTCTACTTGATCCTAATCATAACTCATCACATATCATACCCTGACTGTCAGCTGGCAGGACAGACAAGACCAGGGTGAAGAATCAGGTATCCAATTGACATTGGATGACCCGGCGTACCGCAAATTTTGGCATTCTCGTTGATAGGCTGCTTGTGTTGGGTTCAGCCTACTCTTTGCCATATTTGCTCAATTAGATGCTTCATTTAGGCAGCCTAAAAACAGGCTGACAATCCTCCTGAAAGATTCTGAGAAAGATTTATGCTACTTACTGTGGAGGCCAAATAGGTGGCCTAAACAGAACCAGCAAACTTCGAAGACATGATGACGCGGTGAAAAAGAAAGGAGAAGCATTTGGTGGTTCTCAAAAAAAAGACTGCAAGGATCAACTTCAACAACCCCACTTCTATTGTTTTGTTTGGGAAACAGCTTCGACAGAACATCCAACGGTTTTGGGTGAGTATTTTTTGCGGGGGGAACACCGAGCATTGCGTTGCTGGGTTGGTACTTCAATTTGTGCGATCTGATGTTTAGGGAAAAAAAGAATATCTGGGTTGGACAAATGACAATTCTAACTATGATAAATTATGAGTGTTTTTGCATCAACAGATCCATGTCAATGGCGAATTCATCTTTTATGCACAGTATAGATACAAGATGAACATGTTACTATCTTTAAATGTGACATATTATACTTCATCATCCAAGTTTTTTACTCGAATCAAATCCGATTATTTGGTTTGTATTTAGACTATATCAAATATATATAGCAAATACATAGCCCCGGAATATGCATACTCCTCCCTCCGTATCTTTTAGATCCTCGTCGGAATCAGTACCCAAGGCCTGCTGCTCTTGGATCCCCACTCCGGGCAGTCCATGGAGATCACCGCAGAAGACTGCTCTTGGCGCGTGAAGGAGAAATCCCAATGGCGCAAGGCGCAGGCGGAGCTGCTATCAGCAGAAGACGGGACCACCAGCCTCCAAGTGAAGAAGCTACACGAGAAACTCGGTGAAACCAAGATGCTGAGGTCTGCAATCCTGTTGCAGATGGAGTCCGGTTCCCACATGAAAAAGATCGCGAAGCTTGTGGTCCATTGCAGGCCACAGAATCACCTGGACTTCAAGATGACGATGTTCCAGAAGAGCGACATGGACCATGTGGGTGGCGAACTTGGAGTCGCTCCGGATGCAAACCACAGCTACCACTTCTTGTTCAGCAAGCAAGGAATGATGCAGATGAGGGCAGACCAAGAGTTCAAGGCCAGACTGACAATTCTGGGGGAAACAAGACAAACCATGACAAACCCTAAACCCAAAGAGCTTGCATTTTTTTCACCTGACAGCTGTGGAAGGTCCTATACTACTACGTATACTTTGAATGCATCAATACAACTGTCTTCAGCGCTACTAAAGGGCTCTTAACACATTGGATACTCTAACGGGATCCCTGACGCTTGAAGTACAGGATCCAAGATTTTCCCGAACACTTTTTGCTTCTCAGCTGTTCACCAGAGAAGTCAAATGTATAGATACGTATAGTATGTACCTTATAGTACTATGTATACATTTCTGTGTATATGTATCATACGCATTGATGCACTTGAACCCTGTTACCCTTCAATGCCATTCCATACCATGCCATGAATTTTCAGACACTTTTTTTTTGAGGCTCCTGGATCGTGGGCCACTTTGGGTGGCAGTGAAGCTGGAGCCGCATACTTGGAGAAGGAACACCAAACAGCACTGGCGCAGTTGGGGGTGCAGTTGGGCTGCAGTGATACTCAGCAGGAAGATGCCAGAGCGATTTGTTCCAAGCATCTCCAGGAAACGACTCACCCAGACATGTACGCGGATTGTGTGTTTGACATCTGCCATGGAGCTGATGAATCTTTCGCCCAAAGTGCGGCAGCATTGCTGGAGCTTGAGGAATCCAGCGCCTGAGACTATATCCTGTACAAACAGTTTAAGCTGACGCAAAAAAGCGTTCGTTCTTTCCTTTGCTGCTGACGAATAGCTTTCCAATTCCCTTACTTCGAGTGATCCCCACCCTGACACACTATTCTGACATATTCTGACATTGTTTCTGACATATCATTTGGAAGTATATATATATGGTATATATGGCATAATAAATAATAAATAATAATAAATAATAATAAATAAATAAATAATAATAATAGTAATAATAATAATATATATATATATATACATATTCTGACATTCTTTCTGGCATATACTCTGACATTCTATTTGACATTCTTTCTGGCATTCTATCTGGCATCTATTATGACATACTTTCTGGCATATATATATATTATATCATTCTTGCTGACATTCTTTCTGACACCCTTTCTGGCATTCTATCTGACCTTTCATTTGACATTCTACTTTCAAATATTCTGGCATTCTATCTGACATATGTTCTGACATTCTATCTGGCAGTCTTTCTGGCATTCTATCTGGCCTTCTATCTGACACTCTTTCTGACATTTTGCCCTGCGTGCCAGGTGATGGTCTCTCGGTTTCAACAAAGGTGCCACTCCTCCTCTTCCTCCTCCTCCTCCTCATGCTTCCTGTCGTCGTCTTGTCTTCCTCCTCCTTCGTCAGCTCCGGATGCTATGGGCACGCCAGGACCCGGACACATGCCAGAGAGAATGTCAGATAGAATGCCAGGCAGGCTGCCGGATAGAAAACCAGAAAGGATGTCAGAAAAAATGTCAAAATAGATGCCAGAAAGAATGTCATAGTATATGCCAGAAAGAATGTCAGAATATATATATATATATGCACACCATATATACTTCCAGATGGTATGTCAGAAACTATGTCAGAATAGTGTGGCATCTATCCTGTCATTCTATTTGGCCTTCTATCTGACATATGTTCTGACATTTTATCTGGCAGTCTTTTTGGCATTCTATCTGGTATCTATTCTGACATTCTATCTGGCCTTCTATCTGACACTCTTTCCGACATTTTTCCCTGCCTGCCAGGTGATGGTCTCTCGGTTTCAACAAAGGTGCAACTCCTCCTCTTCTTCCTCCTCCTCTTCGTCTTCGTGCTTCCTCTCGTCGTCTTGTCTTCCTCCTCCTTCGTCAGCTCCGGATGCTGTGGGCACGCCTGGACCCGAACACATGCCAGAGAGAATGCCAGGCAGAATGCCGGATAGAATGCCAGAAAGGATGTCAGAAAAAATGTCAAAATAGATGCCAGAAAGAATGTCATAGTATATGCCAGAAAGAATGTCAGAATATATATATATATATATATACACACGATATATACTTCCAGATGGTATGTCACAAACTATCTCAGAATAGTGTGTCACGGTGGCATTCTATTTGGCATCTATCCTGACATTGTATCTGGCATTCTATCTGACATATATTCTGACATTCTGTTCGGGGTTCTCTCTGGCATTCTGTTTGGCATCCTCTCTGGCATGTGTTCGGGTCCAGGCACCCTCCGCAGCATTCTGCGCTCGGTCCCAGATCCATGGCTCACAACAATTGAAACACACGGAGCAAAGGAGGGAAGTAGGAGTAGGAGGAAGAGTAGGCGGAAGAGGAGAAGAAGGAGGAGGAGGAGAAGAAGAAGAGGACACGTTGCACCTTTGTTAAAATCTAGAGACCGTCCTCATCGGGCACGTGGGGAAAAATCAAACACTAGCATTCCCAAACTGAGGTTTTTCAGCTGGGTGACACATGCCACTCACAGATTCAACAGTGGTTTGGTTTTAGGTGCTTTCAATTCTTCTTCAATCCAAAGAAGGAACAGTGACTAAACCCCAAGGTATTCTTGGATCCACATCTCCCTTTTTGAAAGTTCTCGAATCTTTATCCCGCAGTTCCACTCCAATTTCCTTCCCTCCAGTAAAAGGCCCCCAGTTAGAAATTGGTTTATGGAACTAGTTCGATATATCCACCCATGAATCCAACAATTAACCTAGTTATAAAATGTTATAAACCAACTTACTTGGTCTAAAATCATCCATAAATCAAACTTATTTTGTTGGGGGTAAAACTTCCGTTTTCCTATCCTTTGGGCCATCTCTCTGAGGTGAGTCTGAAGCTGCGATGGTGAAGCGAGTGAAAGAGGCGTGTGCCGACCTCAACAATGCCCGGGGCACCCAGCTGCTGAGAGCTGGGGGAGCTGTGGATACCCCCATTGTTCCTTAGCAAAATATATGATAAACCACTAGATTTATGGGAGGGGTACCATTTGTTGAAATGCAGCGACTTGCGACTAGTTACATATAGTCTTTTGGTGGAACCTCAGTTCTGCGAAGCTGCTGAGGTTTGAAGGCGGCAGAGGGGAGCCAGGAGGATTCATTGATTTGATCTGGTTTCGTCCCCAACTTTGATCCATTGCCACACCCACTAACTCATATGAGTTAAACTGGTCGGACGGCAACATGAATATCAGGGGTCGCGGTCACCCTATGTTTTTCCCAAAAGCATCTTCGATGCTTGGGTTCTCGTTTAGTTGTTTAACCGCGTGGGGGAGCGACCTGGCTCGAACGGTGGTGTGCGGACGGCGTGGGTGCAAGGGAAAGGAAAGGAAAGGAAGGGAAAGGAAAGGAAAGGAAAGGAAGGGAAAGGAAGGGAAAGGAAGGGAAAGGAAGGGAAAGGAAGGGAAAGGAAGGGAAAAGGAAGGGAAAGGAAGGGAAACGAAGGGAAACGAAGGAAAAAGGAAGGGAAAGAAGGAAAAAGGAAGGAAAAAGGAAGAGAAAGGAAGGGAAAGGAAGGGAAAGGAAGGGAAAGGAAGGGAAAGGAAGGGAAAGGAAGGGAAAGGATGGGAAAGGAAGGGAAAGGAAGGGAAAGGATAGGAAAGGAAGGGACAGGAAGGGAAAGGAAGGGACAGGAAGGGAAAGGAAGGGAAAGGATGGGAAAGGAAGGAAAAGGGAAGGGAAAGGAAGGGAAAGGAAGGGAAAGGAAGGAAAAAAGGAAGGAAAAAGAAGGGAAAGGAAGGGAAAGGAAGGGAAAGGAAGGGAAAGGAAGGGAAAGGAAGGGAAAGGAAGGGAAAGGATGGGAAAGGAAGGGAAAGGAAGGGAAAGGAAGGGAAAGGAAGGGAAAAGGATGGGAAAGGAAGGGACAGGAAGGGAAAGGACGGCTGCAGACGGCCTGGGTGCAAGGGAGTGGCTGGAAATGGGTGGGGAGAAGAAGCCGCTGGTGATGAGCGAGCTTGGCTGCGCGGACGGCTGCGGACGGGGAATGGGTGCGGAGAAGTGCGCGGACGGTTGTGGATGGCGCGAGTGCACGCCGTGGCTGGAAATGGATGGGGAGAAGAAGCCGCTGGTGATGAGCGAGCGTGGCTGCGCGGACGGCTGCGGACGGCAAATGGGTGCGGAGAACTGCGTGGACGGCTGCGGACGGCGTGGGTGCAACGGAGTGGTTGGAAATGGGTGGGGAGAAGAAGCCGCTGGTGATGAGCGACCTTGGCTGCGCGGACGGCTGCGGACGGCAAATGGGTGCGGAGAACTGCGCGGACGGCTGCGGACGGCGTGGGTGCAAGGGGGGGGCTGGAAATGGGTGGAGAGAAGAAGCCGCTGGTGATGAGCGACCTTGGCTGCGCGGACGGCTGCGGACGGCAAATGGGTGCGGAGAACTGCGTGGCGGCACGGTGCAGGCAGGAGTGGGTTTGCAAGGGGTGCTGGAAATGGGTGGGGGAAGAAGCCGCTGGTGATGAGCCGACCTTGGTGCGCGGACGGTGCGGACAACAAATGGTGCGGAGAACTGCGCGGACGGCTGCGGACGGTGTGGGTGCAAGGGGGTTGGCTGGAAATGGGTGGAGAGAAGAAGCCGCTGGTGATGAGCGACCTTGGCTGCGCGGACGGCTGCGGACGGGGAATGGGTGCGGAGAACTGCGTGGACGAATGCGGACGGCGTGGGTGCAACGGAGTGGCTGGAAATGGGTATAAGAAGCCGCTGGTGATGAGCGACCTTGGCTGCGCGGACGGCTGCGGACGGCAAATGGGTGCGGAGAACTGCGCGGACGGCTGCGGACGGTGTGGGTGCAAGGGGGTTGGCTGGAAATGGGTGGAGAGAAGAAGCCGCTGGTGATGAGCGACCTTGGCTGCTCGGACGGCTGCGGACGGGGAATGGGTGCGGAGAACTGCGTGGATGGCTGCGGACGGCGTGGGTGCAACGGAGTGGCTGGAAATGGGTGGGGAGAAGAAGCCGCTGGTGATGAGCGACCTTGGCTGCGCGGACGGCTGCGGACGGCAAATGGGTTCGGAAAACTGCGCGGACGGCTGCGGACGGCGTGGGTGCAAGGGGGTGGCTGGAAATGGGTGGAGAGAAGAAGCCGCTGGTGATGAGCGACCTTGGCTGCGCGGACGGATGCGGACGGCAAATGGGTGCGGAGAAACTGCGCGGATGGCTGCGGACGGCGTGGGTGCAACGGAGTGGCTGGAAATGGGTCGGGAGAAGAAGCCGCTGGTGATGAGCGACCTTGGCTGCGCGGACGGCTGCGGACGGCAAATGAGTGCGGAGAACTGCGCGGACCGCTGCGGACGGCGTGGGTGCAAGGGGGTGGCTGGAAATGGGTGGGGAGAAGAA